AACTGCATAAGGTCATAATGAGCACGCAGGACATATTATTAAACATAGGAATCCTTAAACATTTTCAGATTGGTATGAATTAATGGTGAATTTTGTTCGGGTGGTGGGAAAGCTTACTATTATCGATTTTGGACCACTAAGAGATCTTTAACGTGCGCAACATGCATACGAGACCTCAGAGATTTTCCCCCTTATCCGAGAAAGCTAGGTGTTAGATCTTACCTTAAATAAGATCAGAGGTGTGGCTGAAAGACCGCAGTTAGAAGACAAGGAGTAGCAGTAGAAATGCTGCAGAAAAAGTCAGGAACCCAGAGGAGGGGATACAAGGAAAGGTTTGGGGGGGGGAGGAGGGAGTGGGGATGAAAGCAGACAAGAGAACATGGTTAGAGAGAAGAAAATGAGGTGAAAGGAAAAAAAATAGAGAAGTAAATTTCCGTCGCTCTCAGGCTTCGAACCCTGGACCTACTGACGGAGATGCAAACACCATAACCTTTACACCCCGAGAGGCCCCTAGTATAATGATGATAGTAAATGCCTTTCCTACTTCTCTTGTCTCGGAGAATTAGTGAGGGGTGATGGAAGAATGGGTAGGTTTTGGTGGATTGGGTGTGTGTTTAGGGGTGGGGGGAGGGGGTTGTAGGGGATCGAGGAAGAGGGTTGAATCGAGTGTGTGTGAACGTGTGTGTGTGTGTGTGTGTGTGTGTGTGTGTGTGTGTGTGTGTGTGTGTGTGTGTGTATGTGTGTGTGGGTTCAAAAAGTTTGAGAAATAAAAAAGTAAGACGGGTTCGATTTTTGGCAACGAGAAGTGAAATAGACAGAGAGAAAACGAGTATAAATAAATTAAAAAGTGAGAAAAGGTACAAAGTTATTGGCACGCGAAAAGGCAGAGAAAGATATGAAATGTGGAAACAAAGAAAGAAAAGACAGTCAAAGATAGACAGAAAACGATGTAGCCACAAAGGAAGCGATAAAGAAAGAGAAGAATAAGTAGGAAGAAACACGCAGACAACCGTGAATGGGGCCGAGTTTCCCTGAGGAATGGACAAACAACGTTTCTCAGCATTGAATAAACGTGACTGGAACAGCAAGAATAGAGTTGGCCATATACGTATTGACCTGACACTACTGACACTAGTGTACCTTTCTAACATTACTGACACTAATGTATCTTTTTTAGTGAATGGTATGTTCGTTGTTTTTTGTACATGTGTGTAGGGA